TCTTAAAGAGCATGAATATTAAACCTACATATAATAACAATAACAATTACCAAGAAAAAGAAGTAGATAGAGACAGTAGCGAATACAAAAATAAACGAAACATTTATGTTAAAAAACTGAATGAAAAAATCATAAAAGAACCTAAACAATCAAGTCTGGATTACTATCAAGTCAAGTATAAAGACGATACCAAGAAATACGTTTAATCATTAACTAACAAAATTTCGTGTCTCAAAAGCGGTTTGTTTATTCCTGCTACTTTGTAAGTTTTATTACCCATAATATCATATTCAATTTTATCAATATTGAATATTTTATTAGACCATTTAGAGTTATACTCCTTTCTGTCGGTGTAATTACCCCTTTTCTTTTGGAACACTTTTACCTTGTCGTTCTCCTCTATTTTGGGATACTTTCTTTTGTTTTTTTCTCGTAGTTTAAGATTGACCTTTACATTTATTTCATTGTCGTCCTTGTGTGCTTCAGACGGTGCCATCCTTGTTGATGAGTGAGATGTGCTGTTATACTGTTTCAATGCTTGCGTTAGGGCGTCGGTCCATTTCATGTTGTTAAACCTAACTCTATCGTGAATTTTGTTTTTCATCGTTCTAATAAAACGCTCGGCCACATTTGCGTGGGTCTTCGTGACGATGTGGTTTATTCCTTCACTGTTGAAGAAATCCTGAACTTGATTTTTAGTTGCAAACGCTCCGTCGTCATCAGAATACACGGACATCGGATAACCCATCTTTTTAAAGCTTGCTCTCAACGCCTTCAAAACGTTCTCTCCGTCTCTTTCCTCCATCGGTATTACATCTGCTAATTTACTGAAGATGTCAATCACGACTAAAGCATACTGTGGAACGTTCTTGTCTTTTGCTAAAGGTGACATATGCATTATGTCTATTTGATATTCATATCGTGCGAATGGAGCGGTATAGGAATTAGTACCTCTATAATTTTTGATTTGTTTATTTGGTTGTTTCTTTAAGAAAGACTTTACATCGTCTAATGTTATTGTTGGGTCTTCTTCCTTTGCCTTCTTGTGTGTCGCTTGTGTGCTTCCGAAACCCTCGTCTAAGTCGTAATAGATGTTGCTGATTATTTGGTCTTTTGTTAATCTCGCCATTATATTAAATTGTTAGAAAATATTTTTTTCAATATAAAGCCCCACCCCTTAACATAAAATAAAAAACTACTTAAAGAAATATTAACTTATTATATTAAGTGAAAATTATGGCTGAAATAAGATTAGAGGACTTGAATTTAGAAAATGTCGGAGTGATTGCTGACTTATCAAACTGGACGCTATCAGACGAAGAAGATGATGATAATGACAGTTATAAAAAGGAATTAGATGAAGAGTTAAACAAAATAAAGGATTTCATCAAAAGACACCCTTTGCCACCAGTTGATGAAAACGAAGAATTCTGGAAAGATGTCATTAGCAGGTTTAGGGATAATAGCGGATTAAACTTGATGGCGATATACTCATTTGTTAGGTTTGACATCATGAAAGAAATGTATGAAAACCTAACAGATGAAGACATCATAAAAGACTGTGGTAAAAAGTTAAACCGAGATGGACAGTTTAATGCTATGATTATTAATCACTATATCTTATCAGGAGCGATACGGAAACTAAACACAGAAGACAGTCTAGTAGATGGCCAGATGCGAATTATTGAATTCTGGTGGGATGGAATAGGTGGATGGAAAGCGTGAGTGATTTAGTTTAATGGTATTATTCAATTATAATATGATTAAACCTAGTGTTTATATTAAACTGTTAGAAAATATTTTTTCAATATAAACCCCCACCCCTTAACATAAAATAAAAACTACTTAAAGAAAAATGGATATAATATAGTAAGAGAAAAAATGACACTGTTTAATTATGATAATTGTCCTTGTAAAAATAGAAAATGTAAGTCTGTCGTAGCACTAGCTAATATTTTACCTGTTGATGTTTGTAATCTTATAGGTGGTTATGTTAGAGTAACATGTTTTGATTGCTGGTATTTGATGGATGAAGAAGAACATTTTATGAGAGATAAAGACATTCCTGAAGAAGGACTGGAAAAAGCAGAACTTCAATTACAAGTTATTAAACTAATGCAAAATAATGTTTTTACACTACTAGCAGAAAACCAATATAGTATGAAAATAAGACATTACAGAAAACACATTGACCGAGTATTTGATATACAAGAAGTTAAAGAACGGTTTAATAATAGAAAAATGTATTATCAAGCATTAAAAATCATACTGTAAGAATAATGAAAATGAAGTTTGTATCATTTTAAGAAAATGTGTTGACATTGAAGCTTTAAAAAAATTAAACGTTGTGGGTTTAGCTTTCCAAACCTAAACAGTTGGTGGTCATATAGAAATATCAATTATTGTATGAGATATATTCTTAGCGAGTTAATTGAAATTTACACAGACCAATTAATAAAAGGATACGAGCATCATTATTGCGAGTATAGTATGAGTTGTTATAGTGGTTGTATCGCTGGTGAGATTGAATACGGGTAAAATTAACTTTTGTTTATTAATATTATTATCTTATAATATGATTAAACATTGTTTTATAGTCTAACAAGAAGGTTAAGACATTTAAATTAAACCTGAAACCCAGACCAGCCGACTAGCAACCCCTAGCCAAAACTACTTAAAGAGAAAAAACCTTATAAATGAAGATAAAAATGAGTAAGGGTAAAATGTCAGAGAATAATTTTATGGTTGAGAATTCTGCTAGCTTACCTATGGAAGCATTGTTAAACATCGCTTCTTATATGTTTGGCAATGAAGGGTGGCAAAGACTAAAACAGTGTAAAGCATTAAGGGTCTTACAAAGGAAATGGAAACCGTCTATTTTTGAACGAGAAGGAGAAAGTAGATATTATGTGTTGATTAGCAATATATGTTTGAAAGGTGATAAAGCACTTTCATCTGCGTTGAAACCACCAAAAGAATTATTAAGAATTGTGAAGTATGATGAAGAAATAAAGGTTGTAATAGAAATTAGTTCGAAAATTATGTATAAGAATAATATTTGCAACTGTAGTTATTATGCATCAAGCAAACAGAACAAGATAACAAGTAGAGCGTCATTACAATTTTATATTGAACAAATAGTTGAAGAAATAAAACAGACTATGAAACGAAACGAAATCATTACTATAGAACATATTACATTTGAAATTTATACACAACAGAAACAATGATTTCATGGCTTAATCATAATATTTAATTATAATATGATTAAACATTGTTTTATAATCTAACAAGAAGGTTAAGTCATTTAAATTAAACCTGAAACCCTGACTAACCGACCAGCAACCCCCTAGCCAAAACTACTTAAAGAAATATTACCTTATATATTAAGAGGAAAATGAACGGTGATGGAACCAATAATTATATCGATAAAAAATGCTATGATTGTTGTCACTTCAAAAAAGAAAATATGGAATTGTATAAATTGAGTTTACCTAATGAAATAGTGAATACTATTATTAATTATTCAATGGATGGTGAAGAAGACATATGTAAAAATTTTTAAAACTTGGAGAGATAATCAATTTTTAATCAAATGTCTGTTGGGAATAAAAAGAATACATAATAGAAATGTAGAAGATGATATTTTCATATTTCTAACTGTAAATAAAATACCACCTTACGATTGTGTTAAACGGTTTCTTAAAATCAGTAAGAAAAACATGAAATGATTGATGATATATTATGGATGTTGGGTTATAGTCAAGAGAAAGGAGAAGATGTTAAAGAAAATATCAAACTATTTATTGAAAGTAAAAAGTTTAATGTTCAGAATACAGTGAGAGATGTTAATATTATTTTTAAAATGATGTATGAAAGAAGTAAGACAAACCAATTAGATTATTATCCTGAACTGAAATTATAATCATAATATAATAATAACATGTAAAATCTTATATGTTATAATTATACTGAACTTTTAACCTATAAAACATAGCTAGACAATCACATAAAAATCACATAAAAAGAAGTTGTTAAGATATATTAAGAATGGTTGTGAAGCAAACTATAATGAATAATTATGGAATGACAGAAGAAAAAGCAACAGAAGACTATGGTGAATTCTTCAAATGTAACAGATGCCTTTATGATAAAACAATTGATGAATTTGGAAATGTAAAAAGTGGAAGAAGATATAAATATTGTCAAGAGTGTAGAACAAAAATAAATAATTGTAGAGATAAAAGTCAAAGAAAACAAACGACCCACCAACACCCCAGAACTTGATAACTACTAAAAGGGTTAACTCTTTCAAATGAAAAAAATGTCGGCCCCCAGCCCAACAATGAACAAGGTGACAATTTACCCAAGTGATTACCTTAACGAAAACGATATATAAGCTCCCCGAAAACACCCTTTTCAAAACGAATAAGGGGGAAGATGAACATAAAAACCAGAACAGGCAACCATCAACAGGCCACCCCCCGGGCCCCCCCTTTTCTCCATTTTCCCCCCCCCCCCCAAAAAAAAAAAAAACTACGTAATAGACGTCGGGCGGGGGGGGGGGGGTTAGGGGGGGGTTATCCTCTATCCTCTAGTAAGTATCCGACACGCCGAGCAATGTCGGCGGACATATAGCTTGGGTGTCAAGCTTACAAACCACCAAAGACAAACAGACAAAGACGCCCCGGACATCCCCAGGCCACAAAAACTTAGACGTCAAAGACACCCACTCCCGAAGGCATCGCCAAAGACGTTGCATAGTCGTCTCAGGCGCCGCTCCCCTTTGGCATGTGAGCCCCGTTCCCATGTTCTTTCCCGGAATGCGGGCACAAGGCGAATCATTTGATAGGTAAATAAACACATAAATGATACGCAAATAGTATACATATGCTATATTGTATATACAACAAAATGTATTCAACAATATCGCACCTGCCCTTTGATTGGCAACCAGGACCTGGCAAGACAACAATCAAACCTGGACCTTTTGCGTCAAGGTGTGGCGTTGCCAAGCCGACGCTGCAGAGCATGGGGCCGGCGAAGTGAGAGAGATGAGGTTTTCCGCTTGGGGCTGGAGACCGCTAACTTTACGCTTTCGGGGATGGTTTTAGTGGCAAACGAAGAGTCTGGGGCCTTTAGTTGGCCAATCTCAGGAAGTGGCGGGGGGCGGGTCCTCTTTGGGCTTTCCAAAGCCGACCCCAATTTTCAGGGTTGCCTCCACCAAAGTGGGGCCGTGCCCTGAGACGGCTGACGGTCCCACTTGTCTTATTCCGAGCCACAGAAGCCAAACCTATCAAGCACGGGATCAGGCACCCGCGCACGCGGGAAGGATGTCAGAGATGGACAGTAAGTCGGCATATTCCGCGCCTGATAGTCTGTCGGGTTCCCCTTCGTTTCCCCGCCCTTGGGTGCACCGTCAGCGGACTGATGAAATCGGAGGCAAGCTGCTGCGACCTTCTATCCCGGAGGCGCACAAGATGTCGCATCAAGTACTCAGTCTATCAATGTAGAAGGGACATTGGGAACTCACGGAATTTTCTGACCAAAGCAGGAATCACAAAGAAGACACATTACCATGCGCAACTTGACCGTGATTCAGAAAATATAATGGTTGTCGGTGTCCACACAAAGCATATTTGAGTGTTTTCCAAAATTGCCACCCCACCAAACTGACCAGCGGCCTCTTCTTATGGTTTACCGTCAAGTACCGTCCGCAAGCGGAGTGTCCCTTCATGTTGGGAGAACCCCCCCAAAACTTTCGCCGGGCCCGGCACAAAGGCAAAGTGCAGTGTGAGTCACAAGACGCGCGGCAACAGCGCGAAACATCCGCGCAACAGGCCATTGTCTGGAATTGTCCCAAAGTTGGTTATCCCTTTTCGGATGGTGTTGAAGGGAAACCAAAAGGGACACCTGCAATTTGGAAGGATCGCTATTTTGGGAAACCCAAGTCAAGCTTGTCAGCCATCAGCCGGAAGGGCCCGCTACAGCACCCTCTGACAATGGCATAAGAGTGGTCAGCAGTCCCGAAACCCCGCGTTCAAAGTCCATGTTCTTTCATGTCTTCCCCCATCTTTCCCTCCTTCCCTTTCGAGCTTGACCCTTCTTTCCGTCATCCGGTCGGCCATGGCGCGATGCTTGGTGGTGGACTGCGGCGGGGTCACCCACCCCGACTCCGGCCTCAAAGAGGCTGCTCGTTCGCTTGCGCATTTTCTCGGGGGAAACATCCGGGCAAAGTCTGAAGACGGAGGCAGGTTGAGCCGTTGAGCCGTTGAGCCACAGAAATTGGGAAGGCTTTCGATGGCCTTAAGGATCTGACAGGTCCCAGGTTGCAGGTGTTTGAAGGGGGTTTCCGCAAGGAAAGCCGTTGCCAACTTTGAACTGGTCTGTATCTTTGAGGAAATGCAAAAGATGCGCTTAACCTACAAAATGCAGCCTGGCGACAAACACCGCAAGGCGAGATGAAAAAGGCCAGTTTCAGGTTGCGAAATGAGACCGAACGGACGTGCCTCAAAAAGTCGCTCCATCTTGATGCCCCGACAAGGCCAACAGAAACTGAGACTCGAATCGATGCACTAGGAATCATTTGACCTTTTTGCAGAGCCAGTTCCGTTGTCAGAACTGCCGAACTTACACCGAACCGAGTTTCATGGACACGACAGCTTTTTGCTTCAGGGCTCCGGAATATGTTGTCCCTGTCCCAGGGCATAACAGTCGGACCGTTGCCCTTCCAGGGGATTTCCAGCCAAGCTTCCTAGCCGGGAGGTTAGCGATGAGCATACTCATGTGTCAGGGTTTTAACAAAGTGCCCAAAACGTGACCGTGATTTGGCTTAGTTGAGGCTTTGATCCGCACTTGAAGGCTTTGTCTTTCAGAATCCAAATAGGCCACACTAAGATTCACCATCAACCAGCAAATCCAGAGAGGTTTCTTTGGCGCTCAAACGCAAATTTGCGCCACCGGGTCGATCTCACTTTCAGAACTTGCTGACCCTCTGTGCATGGTCAAATTCCCGCACGAGTTGGCAGGTGGCTTGTCCCAGTATTCGCATCTGGTTCATCCATCCCAATTGCGTCTTTTGTGTTTTGTTCGTCCCCAGTCGTCACCCTCAACCAAAAGCCCCCGGGCCAACCACAGTGAGACTAGAATCTGGATAGACGCCTTGATTTATCCCGCTCATAAATTCCCTTCATGTTTCGGGAGGGTCGTTGTCCCAAAGGCATCACTTTCTCTTCGGTGAGCAATGAGCAATTCTCAAGGAACGTCAACGAAGCCTGAGCAACCAACCCTAAAGCACCCTAAACCTTGAGGAGCCCGAGGCACTCCAAGCGCCTCCAAGTTGCCCCAGGGCCCCTCGCGCGTTTTCGTTTGGTCGGCAGGCGGTGCGCCGGCACGTGCCGGCGGAGCGGGGGGATGCGGCGGCCAAGGCGGCGAAGGCGCAGTGGGCGGCCATGCGGGAGGATCCCAAAGCGACCAAGGAGCGACTCACGCGGATGCGGTTCCGCGCGAGGAGAGCGTTTTTGAGGGGTGTATCGTTTTGGGAATTGGACCTCCAAAATGGGAGGGTTTTCTTTTGGGTTTCCTTTAAAGCAACCCCCAATTTGGAACCAACAAAAGATACACGGGTCTCCTTTTTGGCCCGATTGATTGAACTGGGAATTCGGACTCCAAACCTGCATGCTCAAGGCGTGCAAGCTGATCTTAAAGCCAGGCCATCGAAAAGACGACCCCGCGCCGAGAAAAATGCTCGGATGCATTTGGTGGCTGGTTGCATGCACACTGGTCTCTTAGAGCCGTTGCCACGGGATAGAAGGTGATCCATTTGGATTCCATTTGTGTGATGGCATTAGTGGCTCTTTTCGTTTAGTGGCCGTTCCAGTTGGTGGTTGAACCTTCTCCAGGCTTATTCCACCCTCACGGAGGCAATATGGCAAAAACGGTCGGGCTCCGGTGGGCTTCGCATTGTTTTCGTTTCAGAATGGGCGTTTAAGTGTAAGCTGGATTTCTGCCAGGGTTTTCGTGCGAAGCTGCCTTGAATAAGAGTCGCCAAGTTTTCTTCAGAGAGCCTTCTGGCAGGTGTGCCGGTAAATCTCAGAATTGGAATTGACTCCAGGTTTTCAAGAGGATACCAACATGGCACCAACCATTCACTTTTGACGAAAAGCTTTCATCGCGTTGCTGCGCCCTTTTTCGAACACAAGGGAAATCAAGCAGCTAGCACACACTGTATTTCCATGTCAGGTTGTCCAACATGGTGATCTCCTGTTTTCGGTTTTCTAGAATTTGACAGGGTTGTTCCCCAGTCCCTTGGCAATATAAAACATGCCGAATGAGTGGAGCTCCAACGTTTCAAACCTCGGCGCCAATGGGTTTCCCATTTGGCAGGGAAACTTTTCGAATGGGTCCGAGCCGGTTCCTTCCTTTCCCATAAAGGGTGATTCCCTGAGACTTCGTTTTGATTTTCACCTAACTCTCTTGAACCACATTCAGTTCTAACAATCAAACACGTTTCTCTGAGCACCCTCAAGTTTCATCTTTCCTGCCAAGATTGGGTTCTTGTATTTTGACACATACCCTCCCCTTGCCGTCCACCCAACGGTTCTTTCTAAATGAAACGGCCACGGATCGGGATGTGTTTTTGGCCGCTCGCCTCCCCGCTCCGGTTTGAGGAGGACTTCTGGCGCCTGGTGGCGCAGGCCTGCGACCTGGACGCCGGCCAAGTGGCCGCCGCGGACGCGGAGATCTGCGCCAACCTGCGAGGCGCGAGGGCGCGATTCGGCCGCGAAGTGGCGGGGGTGTGGGGTGTGTGGAGGGGAGGCCTGGGGCGGGGAAGGGGATCCCGCTTTAGTACAGGGGCGATTTCCCAGAACCGTGTTGAGAAGGCACCAAAGTCAGTTTGAAGTGGGGCTCAAGGAACCCATTCGTTTGGGAGCCCATCTGGAAGTGGCGGTTCGGGTTTCTTTTACAACATATATCCAACTGTGAGTTGGCTATGGATCAAGCATTGGGCGTAGGTAGCATGCGATTTGCTCATGCAGTTGGTCGTGGCCGAGGTCACGAAAGGTGACCTTCTCTGCGGGACTGGTCAGGGGAAGCCACGAACCCGCCGTCTCAAAAGCGGGGCAAGTAAATGATAGCGACCACCGTGAGTTCTGAATAGCACAAACTGTCCTCACACCTTGCGCTGTGGATCAACATCGAGTTTTGAGATTACATTCGCATAGAACACTGCTTGGGCAGTGCGGCAGACCCATTCCACAAGCGGTGTTTGGGACTGAAGGGAGCTGGGTTTTCTCAAAGCGCTAGCCCAAAATGGCTGTGGGTCAAAACCAATGGTATCATTTTGGGGTAGGTGCACCACCCATTTTAGTCTATTTTAGTGGGGATTGGGATGTTCACTGGGGGTACGGGATTTTGACCCGTGGCCAAATGGGTTTCTGTTTGGGTCGCTCTACAACAACCCCTTTCAGAAGACGCAACCATTCGGTTCATCCAGTCGACTGCAGGTCACTACAAGGAGACCTTGGAGGTTCTGCAAGTTGCCAAGGAGCAGGCAAGCGAACCCCAAATGTAAGAAAACCAACTTGCAGTTCCTTTCTTTGGAAGAACTCCCCTTTGGTTGAAGGGAAGCCACAAGCTTTCGGGCAGTTTGAGCCTCGTTTCCCTTTGAGACTGTGCATCTAAAGTCAAAGGTTCCGGCAGAAGGAGTCGCAACGGGGTTTTCCTTTTCAGGTGGTGCTGGGGGTGATCTCCAACCACCTGAGCTTCTGGTTTCACCAGGAGCCGCTTGCTCAGCATGGGGGTTCTAATGGGCGTGCCTTTTTTGAGGCTATTCCTCTTGGAGTGGTTCAAAGGGGACACCAAAGGACACTAGCCATTCTTTGGGGTTTTCTTTTTTAAGATGTCATATTGAAAAGTCAGGAGATGTGATGGGGTAAGAGAAATTGCTTCCCGTTCCCTAACATGGGCCCTTCCCGGGCCCATATTCCGAGTAAGCCCTCCCTTGGTGGAACAAAACAACAGACGTCGAACATGATTCCTCCGGAAATCGCACGCCATTCACGTTGGACCCAAACTTCACAGGTCTTTGATTGGGACGCGAAAGTGAAACTATTAGCTGAAATGAGTGGACATCTTGGAATCTTGAGTCAGGCTTCTTCCGCTGTTTTGTTTTCTCCATTTTGGGGGCACGCAGTGCTGGGGTCATGATTTTGAGACTTTCTGGGCGGGGGGGTTGGCAAAGTCAGAAACTTGATGGTGGCTTAGAGAGTGCCTTCGACCCTCACTCCCCGCGTAGTGGTGGAAGAATGAGGGCGGGGGTTCCAAAACTGTTGGGGATACCACCATAGCGGAAAGTCCTAGCTGGACGTCCCATTTGCCGAATTTTTCAGAAAATGGGTGAGCAACTCTGAGCACCTTGGCTTCCCAACCCCAGAAGAATGAGGGTTTTTAAAGCCGTTGGGGATACCTG